TCTCAAATAAATAAATAAAATCTTTAAAAAAAAAAAAAGAAATAGTTTCTGCAAATCATGGGCAAACAGTGTCTCACTGGGACAATTTGCTGGCGGCAGCAGGCCTGTTTTACTTCAGTGGAAAACAAGTGCCTGACTTCAGTCACGCCTGCTGAGCACACGTGCATGCAGGAGTGAGTCGGGACCGCGGCCCACGGAGGCTGCTGGTGCGGCCATGGGGGGCAGTGCCCCCTTCTGGACAGTCATGCGCAGGACAGCCCCCCAGGAGGAAAGGAGGAAGTGCGGGAGCTCCTTCACCGACAGGTCGCTGGGCGGGCTGGTCCGGGCCCCCAGAAATGCCCCAGGGCAGACAAAGGTCCCTGGCCTTCCTGGCTCCCCCCAGCCTGCTGCGTCTTTGTCCTGCTGGGACACAGCAGCCACCGCAATGTCGTCAGAACCCCGACAGCCAAGCGCTAGGGTGGGTGCTGAGCAGTGCACATACCATACCTCCTAACCGGCGCCGCGACCAGCGCGGGTGCATGCTGTGCGTGTCATTACCTGTGCGGTGTAAATTAGGAAATGTGAGCAAGGTCGCGCTGCCGGCAGGACCAGACCCCAGGTGTAAGGCATGGCGTGGAGGCGGACAGGTGAGAGGGCTGGGGGTCCTGGGTGGGGGGCAGGGCAGGGCGCCTGACCCCGGAGAGGGACAAGGCCACTTCAGAGAGGCTTTGCAGAGGAAGTGCCCCCCAAGGTCAATTTATCCAGAATTATCCAGAAGGGCTGGGGGGTGGAGGGAATACATGAGATGCCGCTGAGGCACCTGGAGGACGCGGGGTCTGCAGTGGCTGCAGGTGGCCCAAGGTGGCTCCATGTGGGGCCCCGCTGGGGGTGGGACTGGCGGGGTGGGCAGGGACCCCCAGGGCGCCAGGGTGGGGTGTGCAGCTGTCTTCAAAGGCTCTCCCAACAGGGCACGAGGAGGTGGCATGTGGGGGGGTCCCGCTGGCGGCTGGTGGCTTGGGGGAGGGTGAGACCAAGTGAGGAGGCTCGGCCAGAGGAGCAGTGAGGTCAGGCCGTGGGCTGTAGAGGTGTGAAAGGGGTTTGTGGGCACCCCTCTGAGGTGGCTGTGGCTGTGTGGGGGTGGGGGGACCCCTGGGGACACCTGGTCTGAGCAGCTGTAGGCTGGGGGTGGGGGTGGTGGCAGGAGGGGCTTGGTTCCCACCTGCCGCCCAGTTAGAGGGGACACCCCCACGGGGGCACTGGGGACGGCAGATATGCGGCCTGGCATTCCAGAGCAAGTCCCCGGGAGCCCAAGTGGGACAGTGCTCACAGTATCCCATCTGGTGACAGAAGCCGACTTCAGCGTCCAGCGAGCCCTTTCTTTTTTCCTTCATTATCCTTCTCTGTGTATTCCAAACATTCTCCACGGGCACACTTTCAGATTCAGGACTCTGGGCAGGTACAAGCAAGGAGTGGGATCCCGGCCACTCCAGTGTTCTCCCCATTTCCTCCCACGCTCCTGCTCAGCCAGCTCGCGGGCCCCTTCCTCATCCCCAGCGTGTGCCCCACGCTGCACCCCCTCCACACACACACACGCACACACACACTCCTCGACAACCAAAACGTGTGCGCTGGGATTCCTCAATCAGAACAGAGCATGCTTGGCAGCCAGGTCTCCTGAGTGGTGGTGGAAAGGGCCACAGGTGTTTTCTGTGCAGAAGGGAAGGGGAGGTGGACGGCAGATGGGGGCCATTGTCCTGTGGAGGACGGAGGGCATTTCCCACACCCCTGTGTTATCCTCCATCCTGGGTCCTGGAGAGATCGCAGGGACTGACAGGTAGAAGTTGCAGAAAAGTAGGGGATGGCCCAGCCAACATGTCTCTGAGAGTTCTTCGCGACCCGCAGAGGAATAAGGTGGTGAGTCCCGGTCTTGGGGGAGTTACACGGAAATTTGTGACCCTTTACCTGGGAGATGGCGGAAAAGGTAGAAAGGTTGGGCGCCATGCCCTTGAGATTTTGTGGTTCCTCAGAAGAGCCGCTGTCCATTTAGAAAGTAATTTTCATTTTTTTAAAGATTTTATTTATTTATGAGAGAGAGAGAGCACAAGCTGGAGAGAGGGAGAAACAGGCTTCCCGCAGAGCAGGGAGCCCGATGCGGGGCTCGATCCCAGGACCCTGGGATCATGACCTGAGCTGAAGGCAGATACTTAACCGACTGAGCCCCCCAGGTGCCCCTAGAAAGTAATTTTCAGTCAACAAGTATGCTTTTATTTCAACTACTTTTTTCTATCTTCCAAAATGTTTTAATGAATATAGATGGCTACTGTGCTGAAAAGATACATTTACTAATGTAGTCAAGTTCACTGCATCGAATTCTGCAAAACCAGGCGGGCTGCCTGGGTCTTAAGGAGGATAGAGAGGCCGCATAATTGGCAGGAAGTGAATCTGGAAGCAATCTGGGGCGGCGAGTCTTGGGCTGGAGGGTGTCCCCTTCTCCACCAGTGTCAAACCAGACTCCTGTCGGCTGGAGAGAGACTCTGAGATGGACTCTAAGATGGACTCCGAGATGGACTCCGACTCCACGCTCAGGGCAGGCCCCCTCCACGGTGCAGGCCACCCCAATTTCCACGGCTCCAGGCCCTGGGAAGCCTTTGCAGCCTGGTGACCTGGAGGCCACGGCAACGGTGAAGCCTGGCACACCGCGCTCTCCATCTCTGCAAGGTGTGGCTCAGGTACGGCTGCCAACCTTGCCCCCAAACGACCTGAGGCCCCGTGGGGCCACATTGAACAACGCCCCTTGGGTCTCACAAGGAAGCCAGGGCAGAGCTGGTACGTGAAATGCTTTCACTGAAATTTCAAGACACTTTGGAAACCCTGTCAAGCCTCCAATGTTCCATCAGCCCTTCCTGAGGCTTGGCTGTTCATCTTCTTCCAAGTGTTTGCTCTCTTTCTGTCTGGCTGGCTTCTCCGAGAGCTAAAATTCTTTGAGCCCATAGGCCTGTTGGCTCCTGCTTATTTGCATGGCTAAGTAACCAACACTTCAGACGGGCAGGAAGCCAATGGAAACAAATCCTGTTTCTATAGTAGGTACAGAGAGGACTCTCTGCAGAAAAGAGTTTCCATTTTCGGTAGAAGGGGGCAGGTGTGTTCATCAGCAATTGACCGCTCCTAACTCCACCTTCCCTGTGTAATGAAGTGATCCTGGAGCGGGGCCAGGTGGAACGAGGGAAATAAAACTATTCTAGGACCTGGCACCATCTGGGGGAGCGTTTTGTGGCTGACAACCCTGGTTCCCTCTGTGAAGAGACTTGGGCCATCGTCCTTGCTTGGTGGGTAACCCAGCAGGGCTGGGCGGCAGGACACCTCCGAGGGTCCAGGATGGTGGAAAATCCCCAAGGACTTTTCGATGCCAACCTCGGGGTTCGGTTTCTGCAGGGGCTCAAAGAGGAGATGCTTGGTCTCAGTTCTGGGACTTCCACCCCCGGTTTCTCACATTCTAACCAGGTAACGACTCCCAGCATGCTCGAGGTGTCCTGGCTGGCCCCGCACCTGCCTGGGGCATCCACACTTGCCGTCGGGTTGATGGGAAAAGAAAGGATTTGTACATGTATGTTAACCTTCTCGGGACCTTTTTAAATGAAAAAAAAAAGTTTTAATTGGCATCGTTGTGCGTGCATGTAATTTTTCTTTATTTTTTTATTGAAGTTTTGTTTATTTTTAAGGCATCTCTACGCCCAACGTGGGGCTCGAACTCACGACCCCGAGACCAAGAGCCGCACCCTCCACTGACTGAGCCAGCCGGGCCCCCCTACAATTTTTTCTTTAAATACTGTGCCCCATTACAGGAGGGGACAGGTGAAGCGGGAAGGTGGGAGGCTGGGCTGGGGATGAAAACTTACAATGTCGGGGCGCCTGGGTGGCTCAGTCATTAAGCGTCTGCCTTCGGCTCAGGTCATGATCCTGGAGTCCTGGGATCGAGTCCCGTATCGGGCTCCCTGCTCGGCAAGGAGTCTGCTTCTCCCTCTGACCCTCCCCCCTCTCATGCTCTCTCTCTCTATCTCATTCTCTCTCTCAAGTAAATAAATAAAATCTTTAAAAAAAAAAAAGAAAAAAAAAAGAAAACTTATAATGTCTAAGTGCCAAATCCATCGCTGGTCACCTGTGGAGAGCACATGCGTGTGTGCCCAGGCCTGGTGCACGCCTGTGTGGGTGTGTTTGTCCTGTGCAAAGACCGAGTCCATGTCAGTAAAGACAGAGACTCCGAGGACACTCTCTGGAGCAAATATCACTTTAGGGCTTTTTGTTATTAGCGAGAGAAGGTCACTTTGAACCAGTTTGCGGACCGCTCCGGAGAGGCAAGGCTAGGACTGGCCTCGGGGAGGCAGGACGAGACCTTCTCTTCTGCCACTCTGTGTGCTGCTGTCTTGTCTGGCCTCCTGTATCCATGAGGCAGGAACCTGAGGCTTATAAACTACAGCCTCAGGACCGAAGAGGAGAGATCCCAAAGACCTCAGGAAAGACCTTGATTTTTGCAGGCTATCTCAGTGAGAGGGACAAGCTATTGGCCGGGCTGGGATGGGATAAGTCCAGGGACAGGCAGCCTCCCCCCAACACAGCATGGGTTATGTGAGGGGCACAACTGGCCCCTGGAACAGAGGAGTGGAGGGCAGAGCAAGCAAGATCAGTCTGTCTCACCCTGGGGGATGCCATTCCTGAGCTGGGCCTGGGGAACCAGGGAGGATTTGAATGGGGGGAGTGAGAGCAGGTGCAGACTCTGGGAACCCCCGATGCTCAAAGCAGCAACACTGGTTTCTTGGTGATAAAATCCATTCATCTCCACCTCAGCTTCTTCAAAAGATCCTGGACGTGTTTCGAGGTTCCCCAGAAGCCAACGGCGAGGGCGAGTCCTGACTTCTGGGCTCCCCTCCTGGCCCGGAACCTCAGGAGATGTGGACAGCTTCTAAGTGTTCTGGAAGTGCTTATTTCCTCCACCAATGACATTCCCAGTTTTAAAAGTTTCTTTGCTTTCTAGAGTTTTTGTTTTGTTTTTTTAAACATAGCTATTTTGGGTGGACATGAAAATACCCACGGCTCTGACTGGAAAGACAGCTGCAGGCTCCTGCTAAGAACATGGGACCCTCCTCGTCCCATAACTCCCCACAGAGCCAGAGCCCTTCTGGGGGCCTGAACCCAGTGGGTGGGAGGAGGAGGCCCTCCCCCAGGGGCCGTTCAGGCCTGCAGGCCCATCACAGGCCCTGTCTCGAGTTCCCCTGGGCTCAGGATACCCTGCTGCCCCTGAGCCGCGAACGCAGACCCCATTCACACCAGCAACACTTGCACTGTCTCCTCTTTCTGTGGGGCCCCCTCTTCTCCTCGGTAATTCCTGGCTTATGTCACCGCGGGTGAAGTCCCTCAGCGACCCGGCTGGAGGGTCACCTCTGAAGGCCATGGCCAGTCTGGGGTCTGGGGGTGCGGGGGAATCCTAGGGAGTAGATGTCTTCATGCAGCCCGACTTCCTCCCCTACCCCTGGAAGGGGGCCCCTCTGAGGCCGCACAGCCTGCGGAAAGCTTTCTCTGGCAGAGAGCATCCCTGGCATGATCTGAGCACAATAAGTCTTTGGATCAAGAAAGGTCCCAGGGTGTGCCTTGGGTCATCGAGCGCTGACTGCCGCTCTGCAGATAGAGCCTTCTAGAACGCGGCCTGGAGCCCCTGACTCGCGGGCGTGAGGGAGAGCGTGGGGCGCTAACGGCCCAGGGCAGCTGTCTCCTCGAGCTGTTAGCTTCAGCTCACAGATTTCATCTGGTTGCATTACCTCTGCCTGTCAGGAGCTCTCTGAACTCCCACGTGTCCATCTGGTCTATCTACTGTCTTTGGCCACGGATTCCACAAGCTCTTCGGGTCCTCACCCCGTTAGCAAATTCCAGCTGGGCCCACAGAGCTTGTGGACCGAGCCCTGCACTTCCTCCCAGCTCCCGTCAGCTCAACCAGCGCCTCATTACAAGTCCTCCTAACCACGTCCTAACACTTCCACACGTTCCCCTCATCAGCCGGTCCACGGGCGAGCAGATGAGTCTCACCTGCCCCGCGTTCCTGCTAAACCTGGTGGGGGCCCAATGCCCGACTTGGTGGGCAGATTCCCACTTGCAGAGGGATCCGATCGCCGAACACGGGGGTCCCCAGGACAAGGGGCGCGGGAGGTGAGGGTCTGAAGGAGGGCCGGGCCTGCCCTGGGGAAGGATAGCCTTCATGCTAAGACCACCGCATGAGCAGAGGTCACGGAGAGAGGGCGCGAGTCGGGATCCGGCCAGCTGGAAAAACGAGAGCACACAGGGCTTTGAGAAGCCACCAGAAAGGTCACATGAGTGACCTTTATTTTTATTACATAGAAATATGTTTATTACATAGAAAAGAGGGAAAGGAAGAAAAAGTTTCTAAAGCCGTATTTTCAGGATTTAAAAAAACACAAACTTGGAATGCCAAAGAGATGCCATGCTTTGCATATTTATAATCGGAATATATAAATATGTACATGGAGATATGTACACAGGATTCGACAGTCATGCGCACTGTTTCCCATTGCACGGACGGCAACGGTGCTTGAGCTGGGACTTCCGAAGCTGGCGGGGCGCTGGGGAGGTTGGGACCCTGCCTCCAGGGGCCCTGGGGACCCAGGCAGCAGCGGGGGCGGGCGAGATTGCTGGGGGCTCGGTCCTGAAGGTGCGGGGAAGGCCAAGCCGCAGGCCGGCCTGGGCCCCAGGCGGCAAGTCTAGAAGCTTCCCTAGGTCCCCAGCTGGAGAATTTCTTCCTCTCGTGGAACCAAGGAAGGCTCCAGTCACTGGCTTGGGCTGGAGACCCCCTTGGCTGGCTAGGATCACAAGGGAAGTGGCTGGGGGTGGGGGGCGGCCCCCGAGGATCTGGGCAGAAGTAAATTGAGGAAGCCCTGGGAGGTCATGGAGAGGGTCTCGGCAGAGAACAACAGAAACGGACAGCGATTCCTTTAAGGGGAGGAAGACAGACCCAAACAAAGTCGCTCACGTATCAAAAACTACAAATCACAGCACAACACTCATCCAAATATAAATTCAGCTAATATGCACAGAACCAGTGTTGTTTTTATGTACGTTGTTTTCAAAGATTTGGCACCATTTACAACGGCATGTGTACTTTAGCCCGTGCAAAGGGCCCACCAAGTGTGTCCACGGGGTGCCCCGGCCACTTACGGCCACCACGCCACCTCCCTGGCTGGGATACCCAGCCAGGTGCTCACCCAGAAAGCAGGGTGGGCGTGACCTCTGCCCCCTTCTCTCCTCACTGCTTCTCATCCTGGGGCCGGGGGGCGGGGGGGATGGTGGGGATGACTGTAGCCCCAGAAGAGCCCATAAAGGGCTCACGGTCCCCTCCTCTCTGGGAGACCCATGTCATCCCTCCCACAGAAGTCCAGCCAGGTTTGGTGGCCGGGGGTGTGGAGCCATGGACCCCGGGAGGAAGTGCTCCTGGCCCAGGGGCCCTTCGGATCAAGGGAGCTGTGTGTGTCTGGGCCCTGGGTGGGATGACAAGGACAAGTGCCGCCTGCCAGGGTGCACGCTGGAGGGATGGCTCCCAGGCAGTGTGAGGGCCTCTCTGCAGATGTTAAGGTCTCAATCCTGAGACCTGCCCTCACCCAGCAGCCGGAGGGGCTGTGAGCATGTGGCGGGGGGGCCTGTGTGCACACGCGTGTGTGAGAGAGTGTGCATGTGTCTGTGCTTCTGCCGGCCTAGGGTGCCGGTGGCCTGGCCTGGGGATGGCTGGCATGTTGGCAAATCCAGGCAGGCAGGGAGAGGGACTGGGGACTAAACCTAAAGAGACAACTTGTACAGGAAACTCAGGACACCTACAAGGACAGCCCTGTCATCGGCCTCCTGTGTGACTGGATTGGGAGGGGAGAGAGCGCCCATGTCTGTCACTAGAAAGAGTCCCTGCGTGTCAAGTCTGTGAGGCCCACACAGGAGCGCGGCTGCAGGGCCCTGGGCCTGTCCTCCAAGGCCTCTGCTCTGACAGAAATGGGACCGGCATCAGCTTCCCAGTCCCTCCCTGCCCCGCCTACGGATGGTCCAACTGAAGCACGAGACGGGAGGAGAGACAAACAGCACTGAGGCTGGAACTCGCCCCAGTGTTTGCGGCACAGGTTTCCCCACGCATCAGCACAGGGATTAGGGCAGATTTGCGAGTCCAGCCCTGCTTGCATGCCTCCGTGATCCCACAGACATTCTGAAGCTCTCAGAGCCCAAAAGGTGAAAAACGCGGACCCCGACCAGCACCCACCCGCTCGGGAGGCCCCCAGCCCCCCTTCCCACAGCCTGGCCTCATGGCTGCCTGGCCTCGTGGCCTCCTGGCCACACACAGCGGCCTCCTCCACGGGGAGAAGCGCCTCTCCTGCCTCCGCTCACCTTGCTGTTCCACCTGTGCGGGCGGGAAGGGCAGGTGCTGTGCCGCGGCGGCCAGGGTGCTGCTCTCTGGGAGCCCCCCTCGGGTGCATCGGTGCCCGCTGAGTGCTTGCTGGATGCACAACTGTGGAACACGGAGCCCCGCTTGGGAGAACTGCCTAATGGCAGCACAGGGGGGCCGCTGAGAAGGTGGCACCCTGGCTCCCTTCAGCCTCGGGCAGGTTCGTGGGGAGCAGCTCACACGGCTCCCCCACCCCCTGCGAGGTCACGGTCTCCAGGAAGGGTCAGTGCAGCTGGGGGTGCTCTAAGCCTCCAATCCTTCTGTTGAAAGCCCTCCAAACAAACCAGCAAGAGGGGTCAACAAGGGCCTGTGACCACAGACTGGGGACTGACATTTAGATTATACATCCCCAAGCCATTTCCACAATGCCGAAGTGGTCAGCATCACCAACCAGAGAAAAACATCCAGGGTCGTGAATGCCTCTGGGCCCCGGGAGCAGGATGGGGCCCCACACTGGCTCAGGCCCTAGGCCCGGCGGCTGGGGCCAGGCCCACATCCAAGTGACCCTTGCAAACTCACCCCATCTGCGTGAGGATGGGGTTCACCCCAAAAAAATTGTAGATCTTTTGGGGGGATTTTAAAGAGCTGGGCTGGCGCAGGAGGACCACCTCAGTGGACCCCTCGCTTCCTCCTCCAGAGTCAGGCCTTCGGAAGGCATTCTCTTGGGCCTGGGGGCTCAGTATTCGGCTTTTCTTTCTTAGGTCTGGGTCTTTCTGGGGGAAATTCTGACCGTGTGGCTTCCTCGACCTTCTAGAGTTCGTGTGCTCCTCACTGTGGCTTGGGCCTCGTGACGTCTGCATGAGGCCCAAGCCCCAGCCAAGCCTCTGGGAAGTGGGGGGTCGGGGGCCTGGAGCAGATCCCCTGCCCGCTCCGGGCTGCAGGTTGGAGGGCCGCCCAGGACGGCATGTGGTGGAGCCAGCCCCCCAAGACCCCTTCCCGTCACCTGCTACTTCTGCACGGGCAAGGAGGTCCAGAGAACCCTCCAACCCCCCAAGACCCCTTCCCCTCGGCTGCAAGACTTCGCTGCAGGCCGTGTCAGCTACGCCACGGTGTTCGGGGCCTTGCTCTGCCGGCGCCTCAGTCCTGACACCTGGAAGGTCCGCAAACTCACGGCCCCCCTGCCAGGATTGTTGGTAAGGGTCACTGCGGGTCAGATGCACCACGTCGAGCCTAGCAAGGACCCAACACCTGGAGGCTGTCCTTGTTGTCCACATCATGTGGACGTGGGGTCCCGGAGGGAAGCCATCCTGCCCCAGGTCCCTTCCTCACCTCCTATCCCTCATCTAAGCCGGTGACGCTTGGGCCACAGTCTCATGGAGAAAGTCGCTGTCTCGAGCTGCTCCCCCGCGCGGCCATCCTCACAGACTGGGGGTTCAGAGGACCGGGGTGCCCCCATTCCTCGCACACATCAGCTACGCGGGAAGGGCTTCCTCCAGAGGCTGACGTCCTCTCAAGTTTGGAAGCAGCTGGGGCCAAGGGGAGCCTCAGGGGCCGAGGTGGAACTGTCCTTCTGAGCCCACAAACCCCTGTATGAGCCATCCCGTGCCGGGGTTCACTCAAGAAACCCCCACCTGTGTCTGGATCGCCACCAAACATGCTACACAAATTGCTGTCTCTTCTCTCCCCCTCAGCAGCCACCCCAGCCCGAGCCAGGAAAGCAAGATCCTCGGCTCCCACTGATGGGGGCTGTGCCCGAGGCCGGGCATCCCTCTGGGCGTGTGGGGTGAAGGGCCCGGCCCAGCCCTCAGCCCGAGCTGCTCTGGCCTGGCTACAGGGGTGGCTCCCTTCTCTGATGCAGCCTCCCGGGGCGCAGCCAGGAGCCACCTGCTGCTGTCTTCTCGGCCCAGAGGATGCCGTCTTCACACACCAAAAGCTTCTGGCTTTCTGGATAAAACCAAAGCTGGTCCCACATCTTAAAAACGCACAGGATTCCAAATACGAGAGAAGCAGCAGACGCCAGGCTGGGATCAGGAGGGAAGGGGGGCAGGATCGGGGGAGTGGGGCAGGGGATTTGTTTCTCCATGGGTGCCGAGAGCTGCCCAATCCACAGGGAGCCCAAGGCCCACTTCCCTGGCAGGACAATAATCAGAAAGCCCAGCGGGTGAGGTGACTGGGCTCGGGGAGCAAGGGGGCCTGTCCAGCTGCAGGCTCCCCAAGCACACCCATACAGCCACGGGGAAGAGGCCAGACACATCACTGCTCCAGCCCTGGCCACATTCTGAGTCTCTGACAGACAGGAAGAGCTCCCTCGGGGAGCCCAGTGGGGTTGCAAACAGCTTTGGGCCAGTCCCACAGTTTAGCAATTCCCATGTTAGGAAGCAAATGAAAACAGACGGTAGATGTCCACCATGACTTTGGATCGCCTTTCTCTTCATTTCAGAGCAATCCCTGACCCGCAGCGGCCCCAACACCTCCTGTGAGTTCCTCCCCCACCAGGATCCAACTCCCGAACAATCACGCACCGAGCAGATGCCCTGAAGCGTCACCGGCTTAGATGAGGGATAGGAGGTGAGGAAGGGACCTGGGGCAGGATGGCTTCCCTCCGCGACCCCACGTCCACATGACGTGGACGACAAGGACAGCCTCCAGATGTTGGCAACAGGAGGAATCCCTGTGTAACAACAGCGGGATCCCCAGGGCCTCATCGGCAAGAGGGATTTTTCAGATAAAAGTCTGCCATCCCACACTTTTTTTTTTTCTTTTGCAATTCTCAATCCCCAAAAGCCCTTGAATGCTAAGTTTTCTTCCATAACTTATTTAGGCCAAGATCTGACCTGAACCAAGCAAGGTGAGGCTATTTATGGTTTTTATTGATCCCAATTAGTCTGACTTTTCACAGGATTCTCTGCAAAAACAGTCATGCACTCGATGGTTGGGAGGTGCTCCAGATTGCGGGCGTGTTAGGAAATGCACGGTACGTGGGTCTTATTCTGTCTCAAATCCACGTTTTCCGAATTTGGAGACCCGTCTGGCCCCAAGGATTTTAGGAGGACTATTGACCAGGAGTGGCGTTCAGTATAATGTGAAAGGCTGCTGGCCTGTGCTCGCTCACACCTGCACTGGGGATTCTGTGTATGAACACCTGGTAATTCTAGCCGTTTCGCCCAGGGATGGAGTTGCTGGCCGCCTTCTAGGGAAACAAAGGTCAAAACACACCCAGGCCCAGAGATTTCAGCGGCGAGGAGGGGGGTGGGTGAAGGGTAGGCTACAGTAAGGGAGCGCGGGGCCAGGAGAGACTTTCAGGGGTCCATCCCCAGGAAGGCACGGCAGGCCTTTCCACACCGGGCTGGGGACATGTGCATCCTCATTCCTGTCCTGGCGCGGCCCCCAGGAGACAGCAGCGCAAACAGACAGGGTCTGGGGACCCAGAGGAAGGGTCCACCGCACCCTGCCCCTCGGTGAGCCCCTGCTGCCTGACCCGGCAGCTCCAGGGTGCCCTCACAGTGGGCAGGGAGACGTGCAGGGCAGGGGAGAGCCGAGCATCCCAGTCTCGCTGTCCGCAACCCTGCCCCCACGCCCCCCCAGATGCTCTGGGGGCCTGTGTCTTTCTGGAGCGTGGGGGTGGGGGTGGGGGGCTGGCAGCCTGGCAGCCTGCCAAGAAAAGCATATGCGTTTTCAACATAAATACTGTTTTTTAAATACCCCTCTTCCACTCCGACCCCAGGAGATGGCAGAAAAGCGTGCGTAAAGGTCCCGGTGCCGCCTGCGGCCTGGTACGGCCCCCATGGGACCGCCCTGGAATTCTCAGCGGCTCCTTCGGGCTCACAGCTGCTGTGGGATGCCCTGCTCCTTGTAGCCTGTGGGGAAGAAACAAAGGAGAGAGGGTTAGATGCCCGCTTCCTTCAGGATTTCTCTAGGAGGTGCCTGTGAACCGTGACATTGTCATGAGATCTTATTCACACTAAGGTGTGAATGACAGCTATACTCAAGGTCCACCTTTCCCCGAGGGCATGGACTTTTTCACCAGGAACGGAAAGATGCAGGAAGAACTGTGGAACTTTGGGTTTAGTGGGGTTACAGGACAGGAGGGCATCCGGGGAGGGGGGGGGGTGGCACCGTGATCGACATGCCCCTGGCTCAGAAGACTAGGGCAGGCCTCCATCCCCGAGCACCAGGTACCTGGGATGTGTGGACAGAGAGGAAGACGGAAAGGAAAACAGCAAGACAGCACACAACAGACTGTCACCATGTGTGTGTTCAATCAGCCGGACGTCTGGGACACAGACAAACATGACCGACGACTCCGAGCCTTTAAGACACAACAGTGTCACAAGATCCCTGGGGAAATTGAGCCACTGAAATATTTAGGCATGAAGTTACGAGTTTGAATTTGCGAAATGCCCCCCACCTCACCATTAGCTGGCAACTTAGCCCCAGAGGAGTTTCTGAGGACCTAACGGTTGTTTTCTCTCATTATTTACCAAATTATTCACCAATTTTAAGTCTGAATAATGTGCAGAAACCAGGAAATAGATAAGACGTCACAGATGACACAGGAGTGACTATGTGTTGTTGAAGCCTGTGGGCCCTTAGGGGCTCAGTGCACTAGGCCCTCAACTTTTGTCTACGCTTCTACGTTTTCCAAACTAAAAAGCTGGAAATCCAAACAAACAAAAAGAAAATACAAACAGAAGAAACAGAAGCACAACAATAAATGAAAACAGATAAAAACCAAAAACAAGATGAAAGCCCGGTGGCCAGCTCGGTGAGTGTGTGTGCGGAGGGTGCAGGGGGGCGGTGGGGGCGTGGGGGAAGCAGCCCAGGCAGGGGCCCCACACCCAGCAGCAGACTCACCTTGGGAAACTTGGGGGCAACACAGGGTTGTGAGGCCACAGGAGGGACAGGAGGAAAAGAGAAAGAGAAAACAGGGTGAAAACAGAGGTCGGAGGGACTGGCTGAAGTCTAAAAGGTGTCAGGACGCGTGAGCGCTATGCCCGGGGTCCAGCGACCGGGAACCATAGGTGGGTGCTGGGCTGCAGGGGCACATGGCCGGGGCTCCCCCCTCCCCAGGCTCACAGCCGGTAGCCCCGCCAAGAAGCTCCCTCGGGGGCCACCCCTGCTCTGGGCTCACCCCCACCCGGCCTGGAGACACCAGCTGGGTGCACCTGTGGAGGGATGGCTGTGGGACACTCTCAGGATTTTGAGGTGCCCCCTCCTGGCCCCAGTCAGGCTCCGCCTGAGCTGTCTGGTCACCCCGTATAGGGACAGGAACCACATACATAGACTCTAATGCCTCGGGACAGACTGAGGCCGGGACATGGCAAACAGATTTCATCCTGCAGACATCTCGGATGGAGATGCCGGAAGCCCTGTGTGGGGAACACGTGGATGGATGAGCAGACGGTGTCGTGATGAGGGGGGCAATGCCTGCCGTGGGCATGGGGCAGAGAGAGCGCGGAGAACTACGGCGTATTTCTCCATCCTCGACCAGGACAGTCTGTGGTTGGCTTGTGATTATTATCAACAGAGCCGCTTGCTTGTGTCTCTGGTTTTAACGTCTACTTAGATCTGGAATTCCCTGCTTGTCCTCTTAGCGGTTTTTCCGGACAGTGTATGTGCTGATGACACCTTGGCCAGTGCTGTGTGGAAGGTCATCCTTGGGACGCCTGGGTGGCTTCAGTCCGTCAAGCATCTGCCTTCTGCTCAGGTCATGATCCCAGGGTCCTGGGATTGAGCCCCGCATTGGGCTCCCTGCTCAGCTGGGAGTCTGCTTCTCCCTCTGTCCCCCTCCCTGTTCCTTCTCTCTCTCTCCCTCTCAAATAAATAAAAATAAAATCTAAAACAAAACAAAAACTCACCCTGTACTGTTCCAGCTGAGAAGTTTCCTTCATTTTTGCGGGAAGGGGCTGGAGTGAACCCAGAAAGAACGGCCCCCACCCAACTATCAATTAGGACAGACGAGTCACTCGTGGGACCTCCCCACAAAGTCGCCATCCCGGGACATGCATGCTTTGCTGTTGCTCAGAGTCACCCTGGCCTGCAGCCGCATCTCAAGAGTGGCAATTACGCATCCTTCCAGGGTGGGTTTACTTTCTGGAACAAGGCACCCCTGCAGAGATGGGTGGCTGAGTCCGGAGGGTAGGCGCGGTTGGTGGGCCGCGGCGAGGTGTGGCGGGTTTTCTCGTGCAGCTGTCTGAAAAGTCTGACGCAAAAAAAACCAGCATCCCTGGGGCCAGCGTGCAGACACCCAAGAAGCTGACTGGCCACAGCGAGAGCCCGGGGCCCTGGGGTGGGATGGGAACGGGACTCCTCGTACCGGGTATCCCGCCGCCCGACCACACCCGCCGCACCAGCCATAGGGCCGGGGTTTCTGGTTAGGCCCACGGTCTGGGGTGGTGCAAAGAGAGGAAGTAACCAGGTCCCCATCTTACTTCTCGGGGTCCACGCTTCCTTGTCTAGGACCTGATCAGGGGGCCCTTTCAGTTATCTCTAAGATACAGACCCCGTGGCTTTTAAAACCCCTGGGTTTTAAGGGTGACCAAGATAAAAATAACCAGAAAGCTCTAGGGACTAGGCACTAATTCACTTTTATTGAGACGGGGCCCAGTGACGTAGGCGCATTCCACTTTGGTGGAAAGTTTCCGTCCTCAAGTGCCCAAGTGCCTGGCCAGACACTGGGGTGACGCGGGAAGAAGCAGTCAAAGGGGTCAGGCTTTCTGACAATGGCTGAGGACGTGTCCCAGAGCAGGCCTCCCAGGTTCCAACTGGGAAAGGGGTCAGGAGGCTGTGGGCCATCCCACAGGCCCCTGGGGAAGCCTCGGGCTCTGCAGCGCTCCCCGCCTGCCGGCAAGTCTCAGCAATCCCTGGTCAAGGGCGCAGGGCGAGGCGCCCAAGATGGGCCTGCCTCGGTCTCTGACTCCTCTGCCTGCTCCCCTCCCAGGGTCCCCGTCCTCCCTGACGTCCTGACGGGCTGCGCCTGCCCTGAGAGCAGCCCTCCCCAGCCTAGCCCTCCCCGGGGCCAGCCCATCCCCCAGCCGCCAGCCAGGCCTGCTCTCCCCCTCCCATTTCTCTGGCTGCCCCCGCCTCCCAGGGTCTGCCTGGGATGTCCTGGCAACAGGCTCCCCACTTCCTTCCTGACCTCTGCTGCTGGATGACCTGCTCCCAGGCAGCCAGTCTGTCCAATCCACTGGCTCCGCTGGATCTCTCCGGCTCTGGGGCCTGCACTTTCTCTGGCCGGCGGCTTGACTGGTCACTGACCGGAGGCCTCGCCTGGCCCTGGCATCTGTGTGTGCCCTGCATCCTCCGAGGATCCTGAGCTCAGATAGAGTCAGCTACAGGTCATTCTAGATCATTCTAGGGCCCCCAAAAGCCCGTCCGGCCTCGGCTGTCCCTCCCTCTGACACTGAGAGTCCCGCCTAAGAGTGGCTTTGTTGTGTCAGACACCACGGGGCGCCTGGTGCCTAAGGGAGGCGGCCCATCGGCGGCAGAACGTGGGAAAACGCAGGCCACGCGCGGGGCTGCTCCAAGGCACGTGCGGTATCTGTTCTAAGAGCTTGCTAGGTTATTTCATAGATGTTAAGTCATCTCGGTGACCTTTGTAACGTTAGGCACTTTCACAAAACAGTTTTGTGTCTGAATCAAGTTTGTGCTAGCTGAGTGGCGAAGGTCCCCTCAACAGGGAGCAAAGCTTAGGTCAAAGGAAAACCACGCTGTCCTGGCTATAAAAACAAAACAGAACAAAACAACCCACAGTTACAGGGCTTCCTGTGGGCACAGATGCCACGTGGGTTTCCCTTCTTTCTGGAAACTGGGGCCGCCAGGCCCAGGGGACATCACCTCACACAGGCCCCACCCCGGCTACCCAGGGTGGTCCGGGACAGTTCCCTCGACAAAGAGGATGCCCGATGCGTCTGAGCTGAAGAGAAGTTCGGCCCTGTCTTGTTCACACCCTCAGGCTCAGGTCTCTGCCTGTCTGTGCTCAGGACTCCCTGCAGGCA